GAAGAACTCGCCCTCCTTTTCTATCTTTCAAAGATCAGCTTCCTAATCTAATCAGGAAAGGGTTCTTTGATCCAAATATTTATTTGGATCTGGACTCTTAAGTGGATAAGACTTATCTTATCCTCTTGCTGATCCTTATCCAGATATAAACCCAAATTCGCCCCTTTTAATTAATCTAATTAAACCCAGTTCAAAATGGGCTTTAGGCCCATTAAGCTTTCAGGCTCATTTCCCTTTAATTGCTGGCTAGCTTGGCTCTCTTTGTATGGCGTGGGACCCTAGCATTGATCTTCACAAAAGCCATATGGGTTCAACATAACCTTTGTTATAAGTCCTGGCCGAATAAACCCCTGAGCCCATCAGTATGGGCTCTTAATGGGCCCAACATTTACACTAACTGGTCCCTGAGTCCAACTACCTTATGAAGGCCCAGGGACTATGGACTTAAGTGAGATTAGCCCATTAAGTATAAAAACCCTAAATGGTCTTACACTTAACCTCTCAGCCCATAATGATCAAACACTGCCCGACAAGAGGGGACCTCTCCCTCGTTTGCAAGGTACAGTGTTGCACTCTCTGCACACATGGATCTCGGGAATTAAAACCTTTTTGCGAACATCTTGTGAAACAATAATATATATGTATATCTCTATATAAGTATATTTTGCAAAACAAATCTCAACAAGTTTGAAATCAATTGTCGGTAGTTTAGTTTTCCATAAGAGAGAGTGCATTCCCTAATCATTCTCTTTGAACAACAAAGGGGCTGATTCTGTTATTATGGTCACCTACTCAGGTGAATTCTCAAACTGCCCCAACATACCCAGGTTTTGACCCCTGTTAAGGATCTCACTGATTGGCATATCAAAGACAGCCCAATCCAACACCTAGTGCAGTACCATAATCGAGTCTAGGGGTCAGGTGTAACTTTTCAGTTTTTCCCATCTATCTCCAAGGTCTAGGGCATCACTGGAAATTTGGTCCGGTTCAGAGTTTCAAGCAAACCCACATTACATGTGCTTCGGGTCTTACCTTGGTAGCTGAGACAAGCCACCCCAACTGACTTGGCAGTACATTAGTGTCAGCTTTGGCAGGATAAACCTCCCTAGATATATCCAACGGCTGTGAAGATTCTAAACTAACACGAGTCTCATAAGTGTCTAGTTTATGGGTGATTCACGGAAACACACCATAATAGCATGAATCAATTATGTGCTATTATTCATTTACAATAAGTGCCAAAAGTACATCAATCTGATTGGAGCTAAGGGCATACACTGTCTAACATCTATACCCAAGGGTGTCAATGAGGCTCTCTACAAACTTGAGTGGAAGATAGCTATGCAGGAGGAAATGGAAGCTTTGATTAAGAATCAGACGTGGGAGATTGTGGATCTACCAAAAGGCAAGGAGATAGTTGGATGTAGATGGGTTTATACAGTGAAGTACAAGGCGGATGTGAGTATAGAAAGGTATAAGGCAAGGCTGGTTGCAAAAGGGTACACTCAAACTTATGGCATAGATTACTTAGAGACCTTTGCACCAGTAGCAAAGATGAGCTCAGCCTGGATCCTTCTCTTTCTTATTGCTACATACTCTTGGCCCCTCTTCCAACTTGATGTGAAAAATGCTTTTCTCAATGAAGACCTGCAAGAAGAGGTGTATGTGGATTTTCCTATTGGTTTGTACTGTGATGTGGAAAAGGGAAAGATATGCAAGCTGAAGAAGTCACTATATGGCTTGAAACAATCTCCCAGGGCATGGTTTGACAGGTTTAGAAAAGCCTTGGTTGTATTTGGCTATACTTAGACTCAATCAGATCATACTCTGTTTGTAAAGCAGAGGGGGTCCCTGATGTCAGTTCTGATAGAGTATGTGGATGGCATTGTAGTTACAGGAAATGATCTGAGTGAGATTGATAGCTTGAAGAATCTGCACAAAGAGTTTGAAATTAAGGATCTTGTGGAGTTGAGGTATTTCTTGGGCATTGAGGTGGCAAGATCAAAGCATGGAATCTTCATCTCACAGAGGAAGTATGCTCTAGATCTTCCATAGGAGATAGGGAAATTGGGGACAAGGGCAACTTGTACACCTATTGATCAGAATCACAGTATAAATGCTTTAGAAGGTTAACTGGTGAAGGATGTTGGAAGATATCAAAGATTAGTGGGGCGGTTGCTATACTTATATATGACAAGACTAGGCATCTCTTATGCAGTGAGCGTGGTGAGTCAATACATGCATGCCCAACAAGTTCAGCTTTGGGAGGCTGTTGACAGGATACTTGCTTATCTGAAGGGATACCCAGGTAGATGCATATTGTTTGTTGACCATGGACAGTTGAATCTAGAGGCTTACACAGATGCTGACTAGGTAGGATGTCTAGATGATAGGAGATCTACATCAGGAGTTTGCACTCTTGTTGGAGGTAATCGAGTTTCATGGAAGAGTAAGAAACAGACAGTTGTGCCAAGGTCAAGTGCAGAAGCTGAATACAGAGCCATGGCAAAAGGTGTTGCAAGAAACAAGCTGGAGCATAATCTATGCAAGTTAGGAATGTGTTTATTCCCAACTTGAGGGGGAGTGTTGAGTTATTGGGCCAGCTTTGTTTATTTTTATTTACATAATTCAGTTAGGAAGTTATTGGGCCTTAGGCCCATTAGTTTATGTTAAGTTAAGTTGTTTCTTTCCAACTACTTACAAGTAGCCGACCTACTAAGGGTATGCTTGTACTTGTACATTCATTTTATGAAGTATATAAATTAAAAGGAAGGGGGCGGCCAGAACTAATTCTTTTTGGCTTCCTCTCATTCTCTTCTACTATTTTATAATTGGCAATTAGGCAAGGCAAGACTCAAAGGGTGCCTTGTCGCCTAGGCGTCACCTTGACTCTAGGGTCTTCCTAAGTTGATCCATTGCTAACCCAGCTCCCATGTGGGTCCCATGTGGGCCCCATGTCATCATAATGATGCCAAATAAGCATGGGAGCAGCTTTGGTTCTCTTTTGATACACCTTAAGTTGGTCCCCAAATCCCCATCCCCATCTGTCATGTTGCACTACTTTCATTGGGTTCCTTAACCTTCCTGGTTAAATAACCCAGGTGCTGTTTCGCAAGTCTTTCTATGTGGTCTTCTGGTCATTGGAAAGATTGGAAGATAAATTTTTGGTCTTTTTTCTGTTTGGTAATTGAAATACAAAATGACTTGAAGACAAACACCTAGAAAGACCATAATGGCTGAAAATTGGGAAGCTTCAAATGAAGTTTGGTCTTTCTGTGTCTTTGATATCCTTCTAATCTGTTTTTAACAACTCAGTAGATCAAAATACTTACCAAACAGTCTTGGTCTTTTAAAGACCAGCTCCAAAATGCTCTTTACGTCTTTTGGTCTGCTGGGCTGTCAAAAGATCTACTTAGACTTGCCAAACAACATCCTAGATTCCTTTACCTCCCACAAATTGCCTAACAGCCTTGGGACCACTAAGATAATTTAGTCCATAAGAGGGGTAATAGAAATGGGAAAGTGAATACTCTCAAGGCTGCAACCAGCCATAGTTTCCGGTCCAGATACTGGAAGAGACCGACTCTCAGTAGTCATGATCAGTACCAGAGTATAACCAACAGCACCACAAAAATTCAGTCAGTCATCTTGCAGCCACTACACTGTTGTTCCAAAAACTAACAGGTGTTTACACACCAATAAAAGACATGGAGAAGGGCTTCCAACCTCTGTTTTAGGGGAATATCAAAAGTATTTTTATGTGAAAAAAAGTCCTTTACTTACAAGTAACAATCAAACTCTCTAGAACAGCCATGCGATGTGGAATAGCTTGTACCCTTGCAGAAGTATACTTTTACACCACCTTAGTCATGTAAATCACCTTAAAGAATAGTAGTTTGGTCCTATGACCAGTGCACTTGGTGCACATTTAACCATAGTAGGTAGATACCCAGATCTGTTTTAGGGATATGAAAAGTACTTTTATCTAAAAAAGAGGCCTTCTTTACTTACAGGTAACAATCCAACAACTAGAACAGCAATGCAATGTGGGAATAGCATTGTGCCTTTGGAGCAGCACAATTTTACACCACCTTAGTCATGCAAGTCACCCTTAAAGATAGTCTCTTGGTTCTACAACCAAGAAAAAATAAAACAAAATTGAGTTCCTTCTTTGCTGATCAGGTCTAAGATGATAAGGTGATCACCATCTCAGATTCCAGTTGAGTGGAGAGAAGAAATAAAGAAAAATGAGTGGAGAGAAGGAAGAAAACTAATAGCTATGGTAGAATATGCTTTGATACCATGTAATCTGCCACAGAAGAGTTAGAAGAAAAGGGAATAAGGGAATCAAATTAGGGAGGCCCCAAAAAGGTGTGTGGTAGCACCCCACATCTTATTTATTTGAATAGGGTAAAGCCATAATGATAAGTATAAAGACAAAAACCCCCCTAAACCTAAGGGTAAGAATAAATCAACAAAACTAAACCCAAACAACCTAGTAAAAAATGCAAAGGCCATGATGCCCTTACATAGGCAACTGTACATTTTAACATTAAGCATAAAGAATAGCCTGAAACAATTGATTCTAGAATAACAGCTCATTTTCTGGTGCTTCTGCAATCTGTCTATTACTTTATAATTGATTAACTCTCCTAGTTTTTATGCACATTTGTTGTCATTCTCTTTTTCTTTTCATTCTATGGGAAATCCAGTTTGATGCTCCCTCATTTCATACATACAAAATATTGGCCTACCAGATAAAAGTTGTTCTTATAGATTCCATTTGATGAATTTCTTTGCCACCTGAAACAAGTAGGATAAGTAGACTTTGACTCACTGCAGTTGGTCATATCCTCGTTTCTTCTTTGGCCTTGAAAATACCATATTCTGTAATTCACAGGAAAGTTTTACACATGTGACCATAGCTACTAAATCCACTAGTTTGTGTGTGATGGTGAATGAGACTCTCAATTAATAGTTATGAACTCTATGTTATTCAGGTGTTTCTCCTGATAGAAGGTCTGAGGTTTCAACTTCAAGCAAGTATTTTCCCACTTCCAGAAGAGTGTTCAGGGGTCTAAAAGACTATGCAAGGAAGCTTTCTGATGTTGATGCATTTACACAGGAAATTGAAGATTGGGTTCTGGAGAGGACATCTTCAGGCACTGAGGAGGGGAAACAATTGTTTAGGTCTCCCTTCCTTGTTGATGAGTTGCGGAAACTTGATTATGCATTAGAAGGGATCTTATTTCAGCAGCTCTTTCGTATGCCTTACTCACTGTATCCTTCTGATGATCTGAAAGAGGATGAGTATCTTGCTTTAGAAGACTTCCTTCATACTATTGTAGATGGTTTATGGCGTACCTTTTGGCACAGACATGGGCCACTGCCATTCTTTGTGTCTTGTCCACGTCATCCTGGATCTAAGTTCTATACAGTTGAAAGGGCAATAATGAGAGGAAGGCTAGGAGGGCTCTGTGGAGCAGCATTGTTATCAAAAAATGAGAACAGTATGCAAGCTCAGTGGGATCAAGTGATGGAATTTGCACTGTTTAAACCAGATATTTCACAGGGAAATGAGTTGGGCTTTTCTGCCGCTATCATATGTGAAGCCCTGTTTTATGGTTTTCATATACTTCTTTCTAGAACTTTGAGCAAGTACAATGCTGTTAATGGTGATTCTATCTATTTGCTAGTTCTTGATTCCAAGTTTGGAGGGGTGGTGAAATTTGGTGGAGATCTAAGTAAGCTTGAAGTCAACTCAAGCAACCCATACAACTCTGTGGTAGAATGGATTAAAGTTCATGCAGAAGTTAGTGTTTCACCAGTGGATCGGATATGGAACAAGTTAGGAAATGCCAATTGGGGGGACTTGGGAACTTTGCAACTGCTTCTGGCTACCTTTCACTCCATAGTTCAGGTGAAGGGTCCACCAAGAAAGTCAATTTCCACATTGGCAGCAGATCATAGTCTTCGTCTCCAGAAGCGTAGGATAGAGTGCTGCCTTCTTGATAATGGAAATGGTTTGGTCTCCATGCAGCAGACTAGCCACAGTCAGGAGATTGTTGAACTTGACCATGATGAGGACCTGTCTTTTGGAAGGCAAGCATCACGCTTGAAGCTCAAGCAGGGTGAAATAATGTTGTTGGAAGATCAGCAAGGGCGGAAAGGGTTCAGGATTCAGGAGACTCTGGTAGAAGGAAACTGCATGTCATACAGTGCCATTTCTCTAGAACATCCTGGTGAGTTATTGACTGTACATGTGGGAGCACATCCATCTAGGCTTGAGCCATCTTGGGAGGATATGAGTCTGTGGTACCAGGTACAGAGGCAGACTAAAGTATTGAACATTCTGAAGCAGCAGGGTATCTCAAGCAAGTATTTGCCTGAAATTGTGGCCTCTGGTCGCATTTTACATTCTGGTCATTGTAAGAAGCAGAGTCCAGGTGATCGGTGTGATCACCCATGGTGTGGAACACCAATTCTTGTGACATCTCCAGTTGGAGAGCCACTGTCATCCATTGTTGCTCGGGATGGACCGTTTTCCTCTGAGGAGGCAGTCCGCTGCTGCCGGGACTGCCTGTCAGCTCTTAGAAGTGCTTCAAAAGCCAATGTTATGCATGGGGACCTCTGCCCTGAGAATATTGCACGTGTTGTTGATGCCCATGGTGCCAGAAACAGATCTCTGTTTGTGCTTAGTTCCTGGGGGCGTGCAGTTCTGGAAGATAGAGATAGTCCAGCAATAAATTTGCAATTCTCCTCAACTCATGCACTTCAGCAGGGGAAGCTGTGTCCAGCATCAGATGCCGAGAGCCTTATTTATCTGCTATATTTTGTCTGTGGAGGAACAATGCAGCAGCAGGATTCCATTGAATCTGCACTTCAGTGGAGGGAGAGATGCTGGGCAAGGCGATTAATTCAACAGCAGCTCGGTGAGGTTTCAGCTCTATTAAAAGCATTTGCTGATTACGTGGATAGCCTCTGTGGAACTCCATACCCTGTGGACTACGACATCTGGTTGAAGCGACTAAACAGAGCAGTAGATGGTTCGACTGATAGGGGGAAATTGATTGAGGAAGTTGCTGCAACTATGAGATTAGAGGACATTCCAGAGTCTTCTGGAACTTCTGGAGGTTGTACATCATTTTCATGTTAAAAGAAAGGTTGGTGGTTTGTGTAATTTCATTTTTTCCTTTTTATTTTCTTGTTTCTTTTTGTGGGTACTTCCGTACTGGGTAGGGGGCTTCTAAGATCTGCATACACCACTTCTAAGCAATGTTATTTATGTAGAGCTTCCCTTTGATTGATTGCACTGCTGGGAAAATTCTCCACTCCAATTCTCTGAGGTTTGGATCAGATTATCTTTGATTGTGACTTCGTATGTTGAATCTCTTGGGGCATTATGTTCTGATTCGAACTAGGAACCCTTTTTTTTGGTTCAGAATTCTCTCTTAGGGTGAGGTGCACATTCTTATTCATCGGAGAGATTGAAATAAGAGAACTTGAGAAGGTTAATGCTAATATTGCAACATGATAAATGCAGCGAGGAAGCACGGTAGGTTGCATAAAATGATATCTATATGTGGGTTGTGTTGGAATCTTTCTCAAGTCCAATGATGCTTCCTCTGGCTATTTTTTATTGGAACCATGTATGGCACAGATGATGGATTGAAGTTGAACTCATCCACAAATGAGACTGAAGACTGCATTTTTCATTTCTTTCTGTGTCAGGCACTCTTCTAAATGGGAACTGGGTGTTGAATTTCCATTTTCCATGCTCCATGCATTCTCTTTTGGAGATTCCACAATGTGTCCTTTCCCATGATTTTCTTTCTTGTTATCAGTTATCTCCAAACCATAATTTTCATAATCAAACATTTAGCCTCTATCATAGAATCTACCTTTCCTACAGAAGATTTGGTGTAGAGAAAGACTAAATTTTTCCACCCAACTTCAGAAGAGGTGATCTACTACTTAACATGCCCGCCAAGACTAGGGTTGTCAACAGGTCGGGACAGGGTGTCACAGTCCTGTTTACCAGTTGCAATCTCCTGAATCAGAATATCATGCAGTTAGTTCAACCATTGATTTTACAAGAGGATAATGCTGATCTTTGCAGAGTGCTCTCGAAGGAGGAAATCGAAATGGTGGTCCTTCAGATTTGGTGCATGTGTCTCTTCACCAACTTTATTTATTATATGCATAAATGTTCTTTCTCTGCTCTTAACAAAGCTTGTTGATGAAGGCAAACTGTCAGGTATCAAGATTACTTGGGTTGTCCTGCTGTCTTGCACATGCTCTTTGCAAATGATCTTGTTATCTTTGGTAGGGCAACTATAAGTGAGCTGGAAGTTATCCAAAAGGCGTTACTGATTTTGGAGCTTGTTTAGGTCATTTGTGAATTTCCAAAGGTCAGGAATGTTTGTAAGTAAAAATGTGACCAATCGTATGATAGGGCTACTCTTATCAAGCATCATCCCTTCCCAAATTCACAGTGTTGCTCAATTTTGCAAAGTTTCTTTGATGAGGGGACAAGGAAAGCAATTATGAATGTGCCAGTTGCAAAAAATGCAGTTATGGAGGATGGTTGGGTGTGAACTTTGATAAGAAGTGGACTTTTTTCTATGAAATTAGCTTAGACTTCTTTGTTTCCACCTATCTTTTGATGGGGATGCCACCTGAAAAAAAAAAAAAAAAAAAAATTGGAAACAAAAACTCTACCCAAGAATTTAGATGTTTATGTGGAAGCTCTTGAAGACTTGAACTATGGACTCATGACTAGAGATAAGTGTGGAATCAGTCAATCATCTTTTTTCTTCATTGGTATTTCTCGAAATCAGTGTGGTTTGGGTCAAGATTTGGTTGGCATCCTTTATCCAGAGGAATTTCAAACTTTCAACAATATAAAGTTGGATTCATACTTCTATCTCTCATGTGGGGTGCAATGATGTATAATCCTGGTGGAGATTTGTTTGGTTTAGTACTGCACTATGGAAAATTTGGATGGGTAGAAATAAGGTGATCTTCCAAAATCATGTTCCAGATCTACTTTTAATTTGAGAGATTAACCAATTTGATAATAGTGGAAGTTTGTGACATGTGCTTTGGAGGGGGATTTTAAAATTTATTGTGATGGTTCCTTGTGATTTGGGTCGGCTTTTGCTGCATGGGTTGATGATAAGCAAGGTTATTTGTGGAGGCTGGTGTAGAACCTACTTGCGTTCTTGATGTAGAGGCAATGGAAGTTGAAGCACTACATCATGCAACCTTTGTGCTCGAAAATTCTTGGATAATGAGTGATAACATCGCGGTGATTAATTTGTTGCAAAGGAAAACTCGATGTACTCCCTGCTCAGTAGGCCTACCCTTTTGGATGCTTCGTCATTTTCTTGACGATTTGAATCTATTAAGGATGTGTTTGGTTTGAAGGAAAAAGTAGGGAAAGGTAGGAAAACTCATACAAGGTTTGTAAAATAAAAGTTTCCCTACCTTTCCCTTCATTTCCCTACCTTGTCCTTTAAACCAAACATAGCCCAAGTTTTTTTGTATTCGTAGAGATGTAAATGTGTTAGCTCACCATCTTGTCTCTAGTTCTAATGAGTCTAGGAGGCGGTTTTTTGTACCTCTGGAGACCCTTTCCCTTTTTTTTTTCCCGATGCGTAAAGATTTTACCTTTTTACAGCAAAAACAAAATATAAATTGAAATGAGTAAGAACCATCCTGATTAATAGTCATAATAATTAAGCCTGACCCGATAGACTCGGTTATATCGACAGCTATATTTATTTATTTAAATAATAACGTAAAACTTGATTTTTGATAATATAACCTTAATAAAAATGACAGTGAAACAGTAAATTATTTATGTAATTAAATTAAGTGTTTTTAACTAATATTATTTTATATATCGCTTATCAAATTTACCCTTTTAGATATAAAATATGATAAAAGTTATAAGAAAAACTAAAAAACCCTTAATTGGTTCAGTTCGATTAATTCAATCGGTCCTAGCCCATGTCTTTACAAATTTTGTATAGATTTCCCTATTTTTCCTTTCCTTTCCCCATCTTTTCCTTCAAACCAAACATGGCCTTAGGTGCTACAACAATTAATGAACCGTGGTACTTGGCCCTAAGAATTTCCGATCAAAGATCACTAAATCATTTACTTAAAATTTACATGCACAACTTTAAACTAAATACAACATTCCTCTATTCCTCTAACTAAACCCCATCCCTCCCTCAAGTCCAACTTATTTGGGTTTAAGAAAGTGATGCCATTCTCAAAATTGAATCTTCTCGCCCCCCACTACATCACTTCACCAAAAATCTTGGCAAAGATTATTAAGCATCTTAGATGTTGTTTTTGGCAAGGTTCAAAGTATCGATATAAGCTGATAAGCTAGTATTGGTATTTTTATAAAGTTTTATTTATTTATTTTTCAAGATCAGTTCAGAGGGTCAGTTTAAGGCTTGATTACTCTCTAAACCATGGTCTGACCCGATACAACCCCTGGAGGAACGTATAGAGAAGCCATCGGCATGATCGATACTTTAAACCTTGGTATGTGAAAGTAAATAGAGTTGCATGTGGCATATAGGGAGGGTTTGAAGGTCGATTTTATAAAGCACTATTCTCTCAAGATCTCTCTTCTCTCGCTCATGCATTTGGGGCCCAACAAGGAAGCAATGTGAACTCACATTCTTCTATGGGTATTTTTGCTTTGCTGAAAAAGATTATAGATTTGTTAAAGATACATTCTTTCACAAACCACCTACAAAATAGTATGAATTACTCCTTGATGTAAATTCAGAATTAAAACATTTAAAAAAAACCAAACAAGTCATAGAGTGGATATTCAATAGAGCAGATAAAACTTTAGCGAACAAAATAAATATGGTGGGAAAAAGAGCATCTTTTGCACAACCCTCTTGGTGGACAAAAATACTTTTTGGATTTTTCAACAAGATATCCCGTTGGGAAGTGGATATTCAAATCACAAAAGTTGTATAGAAATCATAACTTTCAAAGTTTTGACTTTTGGGCTCGGTTTGGAAGGAGTATAAATACAAATATGTATAGTACAAATACATACAAATTAAAATAACATAAAATGATCATTACTTTCAAACTTGACTTTTGGGCTAGGTTTGGAAGGAGTATACATACAAATATGTACAGTACAAATACATACAAATTAAAATAATATAAAATGTAAGGTATTGTACCCTACAAATTTGTATTTGTACTCCTTCCAAACTAAATCATAGGCATGAAATAGCCTGATTTGCCTTCCTCATGCCTCATGGTATGGAGAACTTGCAGCAATAATGATATTATTGCTAATGAGTTGCTCCAATGTAAATGCATTTTTGCAAAGGAAGGCTAAGTTTATAGAGAAGTGGTTTGTATTCCTCCCGATAGGGTGCAAAAATGCAAATAAATTTGTACTGATGCAAAACTATGGCAGTGCAAATGATTTGAGTGTTAAATTTTGACCTATTTCTGTTTCAAATTTTAGCTTATTTTGTTTGATTGTAGTACAAATAAATTAAGACATGAAGCAGAATATTCCCAAGAAATTCTTCGATTTCTTCCGGAAGCAGATGATTATTCATCTGCTTCTCACGTTCCGTGAATAGCCGGGAAATTGAGGAATATCCTGTCATAGAAATTGAATTACTTGTCGTTGATAAGAAAAGAAATTTTAATTCATATCTGTCTCTTTTTGCCGTACTACATGCTACATTTTAGAAAAAAAGACCCAGAAATGATACATTGGAAGAATCTTTTGGGTCTTCCAATATCAATAGGTTGATTGTTTCGCTCCTGTATCTTCCAAAAGGGAAMAAGATCTCTGAGAATTGTTTCATGGATCTGAAAAAGAGTACTTGGGTTTTAGCAAACCTGAACCACCAGGTCATGATATCTCTACATATATAGAGTATACTCTTATAATTCATTGACTTCTAACTCCAATTTAAATTAATGGTTTTTAGATTTTCAAAATGTATTATTAAAAATACAATTGAAAGGTTGTGGGTTACTATTAGGTTGAACCCTATAGGATTGGATTAAAAAAAAAAAAAAATGCACGTTTTCAAGTAGGATCGGGTTGTATTGAGCTTCGGCTCCTAGGTTTTGTTCCCTCCTTTTTGGATTTTTAATAAATTTTTTTTTCTTTAATACACTTTTGTTAATTTTAATTTTTTTATTTTAAAAATAATAAAACAGACTCAGATTAAATCTGAAATCCGATGGGATCCAAAATGGAATCCTAAAACACCTTGATACGATCAGTGGGTATTCGGTTTAATTCCTTTTGAGGTGACATAGGGTTGTATTAGATTCAATCCGGTCTTATTAACATTTTGGTTCTAATAGAATTTTATCCATAAGATTTTTATCGGGTTGGGATTGGAATTGAATTTGAAATTACATATTTTTGAATAAATGAAACTAAAAAAGTTAATGAAATATTATAATTTGATTAATACAATAGATTATAAATAACTCCCAAGTCTCCCATGATACTTGAATTGTATTTTAAAACCTTTATGTGATATCTAAACCAACTTTATTAAGCGACAGACTGGTTAGCTCGTAAAGTTCTTAATGGATTGGAGTGTAATAGAGTAGGGGTGTCAATTGGACTGGATTTGGTCCAATCCGGTCCAGTCCAATATTGATCCATTTACAAATGGACTGGATCAAATCTGGTTCAAACCTCATATAAACCGGATCTAGTCTGGTCCAATTGAAATGCAAATGGACCGGATTGGACCCAATCTGGTCCAAATTATATGTTTTCCTTAGAAAACATTTTCCCTAGAAAATATTTTGGTTGCAACTAAAATAATGAAGAAAAAACAAAATGTTTTCCTTATAAAATAATACTCAATAAAGAATAAATTATTTTCCTAATTTCTCAAAAAATAAACAAAATGTTGTCAATGCATATGTACAATTACTAAACAGTTTTAAGACAATTAATCTGGCCATTCACAAGTCCATCAGTTTTGAGTGAAAGATATCACTACAAAGGCAAAAACATTCATTTGCAGCGAGGAAGGCCTGAATACCCTGTTAGACAGTTGTATGCTCTTAGCTCCAATCAGAATGATGTACATTATGAATTTATAGTAAATGAATAAAGTATATATTTGATTCATGTTCTTGTGGTGTGTTTCTGTGTAAAACCCTTAAACTGGACACTTATGAGACTCGTGTTAGTTTAGAATGTTCACAACCGTTGGGTAAGTCTAGGGAGATCGATCCTGCCAAGGCTGACACTGGTGTGCTGCCAAATGTTGGGGTGGCCTGTCTCAGCCGTCAGGGTGAGACCCAAGGCACATGCAGTGTAGGATTAATTGAATCTTTGAACCGGACCAGATTTCCAGTATTGCCYTGRAYCTTGGAGATWGATGGGCAAAACTGGAAAGTTACACCTAACCCCTAGACTCGATTATGATATTGCACTAGGTGTCAGATTGGGCTGCCTTTGATATGCGAATCAATGAGATCCTTAGCGGGGGTCAAAACCTGGGTATGTTGGGACAGTCTGAGAATTCATCTGAGTGGGTGATCGTAGTGACAGGATCAGCTCCTTTGTCGGACAAAAATAATGATTGATGATGCACTCTCTTTAATGGAAACCAAGACTGCCGACAATCAATTTCAATCGTTGCAATTAAAATTATCTTACTTTGTTAGACACGTAGTTATCTGACTTTTCGATGAAATTATCTTAAATAGCTTCTCCAAAGTGGTTCAATGAACCCTGAATCAAATTGTCAACCAATTACATTGGAATTATCATAAGAGCTATTTACTTTTTATTGATTCATGTTTTACAATATGTATTTATCATTAAATACTTTAATAATAGATATCATAATGTCTTACTTTATTCATAGAATATATCATAGATTTTGCCTAAGTTATACAATGGATATGATTTAGATTTTAAGTGGATCGGATTGTTTGAATACATATCTAATAATTCGACTACAAATGGTCTGACTTTCTGAGATTCAAATCCATTTTAGTCATATCAAATTTTGAACTTGGACTCGGATAATGGGAAACCAAATGACAGTCCTGACGTGGCAGAATTTGGCATAGAAT